GTAAACGAAATAAGTGATGCGATAGACACGCACATATATATATATATGAGTGAATTGCAACTTATTGGTACGATTGACGAGAAAAAATGAAAGTGAACCTAAATAACTTTTGTGTAGTGTATCTTATTAAGCTCTATACCTGTAGTATACAGAAAAAATTTTCCAACACTTTATCGCATATTAGCTGAGATACGACTTACTTCAACGTAAATGTACTATAAAAAAACGATATTTTCATGAAAAATATCATTTTAGAGTTCATCATGTAATGTAAATATCTTGAGAATGGTAAGAGATAGAAAGCTGAATTTTTCGCCGGTTATAAAAGCCTGAGAAATATATTTACAGTAAAGATTTGAGCGAAAACAAACCAGCCTTTCATGAGTTATACACAAAGTAATTTTGAAAAAGCGTCACTCTACATTTTTCAGTATAATGTAAATTTCTCCTGAACAGTACAAGATCCAAGGCTGAAATTTTTACCACTAGTAGAACTTTTTGTTTTGTACCTCCTGTAAAAATTTGAGTGAAATCGAACGAGCCGTAGAGGAGTTATAAAGATGACAATTTTCAAATCGTCACTCTACAGAGTGAATATACAGACCCTTTTTTTTAAAAGTTTTGCTATTTTTTTCCTCAAATAAATCTGATAAGAGAGAACGTTTTCTCATCAGTTTGGTAGTTGAAGAGTCCTCTTTCTTTTGATATAGTCTGCGCGCTACCAGCTCTATCACAAGCTGACCTTGAATCATGTTTTCGTCACTCTACATGAAAATGTACAAGTGTCTGTCAAACAATATTAATGGTGGACGAACGAAGGAACGGAAAAGAAGATTAAAATCAGTTATATATTTGGATAGAGCGTCAGACGCTCTACAAAATAGACTAATTATCTCCTTTTCCTCTTGCGTTTTTATAGTCAAAAATTTCATTTTCTTAGCACCCATCATGACAAAACTGACATTCTTTTTATAACTCAGTGACAGTATGAGCTAGAGAGCTGAAACTTTGTATATCAGTGGGGAGCTTAAAGGGGTATAACATATAAAAACATTGTTTAAATCGGTTGAGACACACAGAAGTTATTAGCGAAATACAGTTGAACCATCAATCGTACCAAAAAGTTGCAATTCACTCATATATATATATATACAATGGTCTAAAAGTCATTTTGCGAAGGAAAACAATCGGAATATCTCTGCTATATTTTCATTAAATGGACTGATTTTTTACTACTAATAACAGAGTGTTGATAGGTCATATTTATAAGAAATACATTGGCAAATACTGCTTTGAATTATCATTGTTGACTTCAATAAAGAACTGTAACCCGTTCATAAATTATGCAAAAAAAATACATTGCAGTTTTCGTAACAAATTCTTATCTAGTTATAAATAAATAAAAAAAGAAAGAAAACATTGAGATCATTAAAACGACGATAACCTAATTTTATTCATCAAAACTGCATGAACAGCTCATAAGAGATAATGAATCATACTGATGATTAAGCGATAAATTCACAGCATTCTCTAAAATTGCTTCACTATTCATTTTATGCTTTGATCACATGATTGATTGAAACATAGATAATTCGAGTTTTCGATAAGAGCAATACGAAAGAAGCTCGTTGCTATGAACTGTAAATATATCTCGAGCGATAGATCGTTGTATAATTAATCGAAGGCTTCGCACCACATTTCGCAGTCGAGTGAAATTCGAATTTGTAGACGTTTATAATATATATTCTCCTGTTTATTCTCAAATAGACGGGCCCTGGGGAAGATTCACTTTTTTTTTTGAAGAACTATTTTATTAATTTGTTAGGATTAATTTGAATGAAAATTATAATTCGTAAACAGAGTTATCATGGAACAAACAGATTAAGATAAAAATTTGAATGTTTTTTGTTTAAATTTAACTTTGCCACTAGATAAATTACGTGTTACTTTATGATGCAGCTTGAACATCTAAATAAAATTTTGTTTACTATGAATAAAATTAAAACGTTAGTTTTATACTCTTGCCTTTCTTACCAAAACTACCTGGTAAAACTTTAGTGTTATATTTATAATTATTTAATGTAACCCAAGGAGCATAAACACCAACAACATTTGTTAATGGATCGTCAGTTGTTGGTTGTCCAGTTAGAGTAGAAAGTAAACGAGGATCTTGAGATAATCATTTTGCCTTTTCTTCTTCATCTTCATCGGTAATTGCAATGGCTACAGATGCTGATCGTGGTCGATATTGAATTTTATTATCTTTTTTTTGTACTTTTTGTTTTTGCTGTTGTTTCTTTTTTGATTCACTACCAGCTGAGTCTAAAAGTTATATTCGAACTTGTCGATCTTCTTCATTTTGATCTTTATATTTTTCTTTAATTTTTTTCAAACTTGCTCGTTGACCAAGTTTTAACCCTTTGAGTACCGACGATGCGAATTTGCGTCCTGATAGTTTAGGGTCTGAATAACTTTAGAAAACATGATCGTTTGATTATTTTATTATATGAATTACATGAATATTTGCGTTTAGGATATTTGTACGGTTAAGACTATCTGTACCTAGTGATCAATATTGGTTGTTCCCTAATATTTCTATCGATCACTATGTGATTCAATGAATTAGAACATAAGTCATTGGACAACATTTCCCAAGAAAGAATAATCGTTATCAACAGGATTTTTCATATTAACACAGTCATTCAAGAGTGTTATCTATAGTAAAAGTTCTGATCAATTGATCACGTTTGATAACATTTTCCTTCGCGCATTGAATCAACAGAGACTCAACTAAATCTAAGAAGAAAATGTTACGTTTGTGCCAATACTGTGAGAAGAGCCAGATCAAGAAGAGATACTTCATATGAATGCATTGAATGTGATGTAGGATTGTGTCTTATGGATTGTTTTAAAGACTATTACACTCTACAAGCATTTTAATTCATGTACTTTGTGATATTTTTTGCGAAATAAACGTTAGTTTGAAATTATAAAAATTTTTATTATATAAAAATAATCCGGTACTCAAAGGGTTAATTTAGCTGTTAAACAATAAAAAAGTGTTTTATTGATAGAAAAGGAGCATGAACATTCACATCAGAATACAATATTATCAATTATTAGATTTTAGAAACTCTCGCATGTGCATCTGATACCATCTTTTAAAGCTTTTTAATTTACATCATTTCTGAAGACGTTTGTTTTTATTCTTTTCCATGTAAGCATCAAGAAATTATTCACCTTGTTCTATGATAAGACCAATAAGGAAGGAAACATTCGAGTTAAACAAGCTGCAAGGAAGAACATAAATACAAATTTCGATAATATTTTTCTTCGATTGTTTTGAATGATATCTTGTCTAGTTGAATACCTTAATTTATTTCTATAGAATTTGCCACGTTAAGTTTTAAAATACAACTGACATTGTCTTTCCCATTTGACTTTTTTATTTATATTGCATATAATGTTTATTCGTTTTTTCATCCAGTAAAAAGGAGAGAATTATCTAAAAGATTTATTGACGTACTTTCTTTCTTTTTAATCAAATTGGTCTGTCTGCTCACTGCAAGACTTACAAGTGCAATCTTTGAACTGACTGCTAAATCCAACATACATTTTACATCGGTACGACGGTTGATCTCCAAAGGAGTTAAGACTTGTCTGAAATGTCATTAATCGTGGAAGACGACGAACACGTGATTGATCATTTGCTGAAGCATAATATTGTTCATACTGAATTTGACCATTTTCCGGTCTGAAACATTCCATTGTTGACGCAGCTTCACCAACAGATAATAGATTTTTGATTAGTTCCATCGTTGATGTAGTTTATAATTTGACAAGAATATCTATCGTCTGTTTTTTGAACGTGTCTTTATACGCTTTGCGTCATATGAATAGAAGGTATTTATTTTCGTTCTCTTTCTTGATTGAGTAATATCAAATATCCGTGATCTACAACTATTTCGTCAATATACTATGTATGATTTTCATACAATTTTATCATTTTTATTATTCAGGAGAAAGTTGTGAGGTTTCAATGTATCTTTAACACATTTGACGCGACGGATCTCACAGGTAGGAACCACTATATCTTAGGAAGAAATCGAATAAAAAAACACTTTCTCTTTCTTTTTTTCCTTCGATTGGAGATTTATGTGTTGCTCATAATAATAATTTTTCTTAGTATTTCTTTCAGCTTATGGTTAACATTGATCGGAAGAACAATAATCATACATTATCCAAGTAAAAATCAATTTAAAAAACTGTCCTGATTCCTTACATGTCAGTTTCCTCAAGTTTGTAACAGTAATTTTCTCAGTGATCGGTAGATTCGAACAAACTTTTCTGATTTTAACACATGTCGTTCTATTATCTATCGACAAAAAGTATTTTCCAGATGGTTTGAATTCTTTCCATTCAATATAATTTGTTATTACCAGCAGTACAAACTACGTTTGATTTAATCCTTTACTTCCATTGTCCACCTCCGTGGACATTGACAAAACAGTTGTGAAAAATTAGCGAAGCATCTGATTGAGAAACTGTAAGAATACTGTTTGTAGTAAACTTCATGGGCTACTAATCGATAAAAAAAACTTTTTTCACTGCGCTCGTTGAGAGATATGTAACACCTTTAATCCACGATTTCGAAAAAAGACAATTGTATTAAAAAAGTAATTTTTTTATTTCTAAGCAATAAATCTTCCGATAACCTACCGCGTAATACATATAGAAGAAGGTGTCCACTAGTAATACTTTTAGTTTCCAGAATTATCGGAAAGGTTTAGGTGGAAACGTTCCCGAGCTCCCTACGACACTCCGTCACTGAGATACATCAGTTTTGCTGAACGCTATAAAGAATTGATCAAATTTTTTCTCCTACACTTTCTGAAGAAACTACCGTAAAACTGAAGGAAGTATTTCATTGATTTGTTCATACTTTTGGTACGTTGAGGATGCCGATACTCTATTTCAAAGGTAATTTCGTCGCTAATGCTTCTGAAACCATTATGGGGTAAAAGGTTAAAGATTAAGTGCAGTGTGCACTTTAATATAAAAAACGAAAATTTTCTTCACTCATTCGAAAGATAAAAAAAACTGGACGTGTATCTTAATATATATCTCATAGGTATCTATGTCTAGAATAAAGCATATCGTCTTCGAATTAAACGATTAAAAAAGAAATAATCAATTATAACAAAAGCGGTTTCTATCAGACAAAGACTATTAAGTACTTTAGTTTATAGTGATAACATAAGACTTGAGAACTTTGAAAGAACTTGAAGTAATTTGATATTGATTCGAAAATGAATAAGAGATCGTTCTACTTGAATTTAATTATAGTGAGCGTGCACAAGTCATCGCTGACAAAGGAATAAAGTTATGCAAAGTTCAGCCGCTATCACCAATCAATGCATCAGCTTACACCTCTAACCATTACCGATCACATTAGTGGTCTTTCGTCCAGTTTTACGAATTTTATGATTGTTTATGAAAAATGAAAGTTTAATCTAAAACATAATCATTAGTTAGTAGTCTGAACTAATAGAGAAAATTGCAACGTCATCTAACATCATGTGTTATTGTATATTCCACAGACAAGACTAAATATCGACAGCATTCATTTTAGTTAAGTACAAAACTACCAAATAATTTCTTTCTTTTAAAATGAGTTTTAGTTTTCGTTTTCACTAAGAAAGCATAGTATGTATCTGCTTTTTTTTTTTACTAAACAGAGTATCAAGTATGTTTATGAACAAGTGAAGTAACATTTTAAACTTTTCGAGTATTGAATTCTAAAAGAGGACAGCTATTATTCTATCATAAATGTTTAATCAAACATTTCTAATCGAGTATAATGTATTATGTTGTTTGTATTTTTAGAAAGATATTTAAATATTTTCTTATGGAAATTATAATTTAGATTTATTCAAGAAAAAGACAATCGTTGAGGTAATCGTTTTAAGATGTCGATTTGAAGTGAGATATTCTGAAAAGTAAGATAGCCTAGTAAATAAATATGAAAACATTATTTTTAAATATAAAAGATGGCTCTAATCTTGATAAAATATTGTTCTTTATAATTATGTTATAGTATATTGTTTTCGAGCATTAAAATGATTATCATGGTTTTGTTTTTTTATGTTCTGATGATTGCCGATTATTTCAATCTTTTTAATTTTCTTCATCGAATCCTCCAACTCGAGAAGTAAACAATTATATTTATTGACTTCAATACAATCGTTTTAATGAGCAACAGACTCATATGTACAGCTAGAAAGTGCTATCAATTTTGCTTCATTTCATTTGTAAAATAGTATTTATAAATACCATAGGGTAAGAAAGGATTAAATTTACAATATTTCTCGAATCACAACTTCATTGTCTTCATCTTATTTCTGACGATCTATGGTACACTTATTATTCTATTTTGTCAGAAATGATTGAAAAACGTATCTCATATCCAATCATGATATTTGAAGTAACAGGAGATTTGTATACAAGAAATAAAATTACTAAACAACTCCGTCTTTCAAATAAAATTTTTAAAATAATCGACTAGTTCTATATTTTGTCTTAAAAAAAAAGAAGAACGTTTATATAGCGTTCTCAAACTGAAGTCTTATCTGTCTAATTAACAATAATTGATCTTCACGGTCATGTATTTATTTTTAGGATATCAATATCAACATTAGGAATGTAGAGAACACTTGTACGATATAAAACATCCACTGAATTGGATACACACTGTACGCTTGACTCTTAGTTTACAACATTCATCTGAACTTATTCTTCTCTTAATACCTCAAGCTTCACCATTACTCGAACATTTAAATGTAACTATCGAACAGCGACGACAGGTTTTAATATCTAAAAGAGATCAATCAACAGAATGTTTTGAATTATGCGAAAAAGATCTCTGTTATACAAATGCTGCTGATACAAAACTTCGATCATTTGTTTTACGTCAAATAGAACTCGATGATCTTTTGATTTTATTCAATACATTCACATTGGTTGATATATATGATAAACATAAGTGCAATGAAATATTTTTAGTCTTTAGTTTTTTTTTGATGCGAGAAATAGATAAAGCTATGGTAATAGAAAGCGAACCCAACCGTGAAAGTTTCAGATCATATTGACTACTAGTTAAAACATTTTCATAGTTATGATTAACTTACAACTGTTGCTCTCTAGTCTTGAATATTTATTAGCTGTGATATTGTCTTATTTTATGTTTTTGTTCGGTTCATTGTATTGAAAAGTAATATGCAAAGAAATATCAAAAATTGATGTTGTGTTTATTTTTTGTTTAGGTTTAGATAATTTGCTAGCTTTTCAACAATCGATTAGTCCTTCAAGTAGATATCATAAAATTGGATGGACATTTGATAATGTTGGTTTTCATGTAGATGAACATATTGTGAAATTGCTCGATTATTCCTCTCCGTTAGATATTATTGAAGCTGTATTTTTTCTCTACTCTGTTCCTTTTAATCTATTGAAACATATGCGTACTGTACACAATTATGAACTTTTTACTCGTCATTCAACAATAATTCAAAAAAACTTTGTTTGTCAAAACATGAAATGACTATGCAAATGGACAAACAATGAAATTCAATTAATTACACGTCTTAAAACAATGAGAAACATCGAAACGATTCGTTGTTTGTGTGTCGGAATAAATGTAAGTCATCATTTTCATAAGAACATACATAAATGTTCTCATTGTTAATTTTTATTTGTCTTGCGAGGGAACGTTTTCAATTGTCAAATCACTTTTTGGGTTCGGACTGGGTACATAAGTGTGAAAAGCCCCAAAAGGATAAGTGCCGTTAGGCCTTCTGTCTAGAGTTGCAGATATTTTACTGGAATTTTAGCCTCTGGCATGGTATATACCAACAAATCGAATGACGGTATTTTGATCTGAGATTTTGTCCACCTATAGAAAATTCTAGCATTCTTCGTGATATATGAGTGATTTTGGGGACTTTAATATCTCGAGAAGGAAATATTCTTTTGAGCTGAAATTTTCAGGGTATCCTACTCACCACTAAAGAACAGAAAGCCTAAGGACACTTATTCTTTTGGGATTTTTCATACCTTACTGAGGTCTATCTTATGCACAGAGTCCGAACCCAAAAGTGATTTGACAGTTGAAAACGTTCCCTCGTTGGTCTTTGGTTTATATTAACATTTTCCTTTTATATTCTAAGTTTTAAATAGAAAACGATGCAATAAATAAATAGATTATGTATCATTTGAAATTTTAGAATCAACCAGAAATTGTTTTAACTCCAATACACACTAATTTGTGTCGTCATCTTCGTTCGTTGACGTTTTGATTCGATAAATTGATAGAATAAGTTTTATGAAGAATAATTGAATTCTTTCGATTATTATCATAGAAGTATGGGTATAATTCTTAATTTCAACCACGAACGTATGTTTGAGTGAGAGCATGGAATGTGGATATCAATATACTTGTTTTGTTTGATGTACTTTTGTTATGTACATCGTTTGCAATTAGTTCAGATTAAATGACAGTATCAATAAGACTGTAGAATTCTGATATGTATCGCTTTTGTAGGAAAAAATTGTGTTATTTTTTGTTTTATTCGATAGCATTTTGAAGAATCAAGAAATAAAATTATTCATTTAATTGGCCTTGAAAAGTTCTATCTTTTAGATGCAGTTCAAAATTTTTCAGATGAAAATGTGAAGCAGAAAAACATAATTTTTTTGTTTTAATGAAATTTTTCAAAAATCATTAAGTCTGTTTTATTCTAAGAAGAAAGTTAGGACAC